GTGTGTGTGTGTGTGTGTGTGTGTGTGTGTGTGTGTGTGTGTGTGTGAATAATCCTTGATCTAAATATGTAAATCTAAATGTAAATGTTAAATCTTAAATGTTGAAGTTTACATTTAAGTTTTACTGTTTGCTGTTGGTGCTCGGATCGTTATGACATCATCATCCTACAACAAAAGCAACACCTGTTGCTGCTAACGTTGCTAAAGATTGTATTTTAAATTTGAATACAAAATGTGTTCAATGAAAACAACATGAATGGTACCTGTAGTGAGTGCAGCTCTGACACCGGCTGTAACAGCAAGTTTGATGTCTTGTATGGAAGTGTTAGCGGCATTAGCAAYGTTAGCAGTGTTATTCAACATTTTATKTTACACTTGGMACCACATAAACTGTTCCTAGACTCAATTATAGAGATGATTCCTGACAACAAAACTTAATATTTATTAACCTGGTATATTTTGAAACATAATTACTGTTATGTACATCCARTTTTCTGTCAGCCCCTTTCAAGATGGCCACCACAGCTGATCAACATCATCAAACACTTAAATGTCTCAAACTCAGTCTGTTTAACAGATATGAAGCTAAAATTTGTTGTGGTTGTAGCTGAGAGTCATTCTCAACATAGAATCTGAGCTGAAAAGGATTAATTAAAGTCTGTCCTACCTGCCTCCTGTTAGAGCTCACCTGGACAAAGAGAAGGACGGGTTGATGTACCAGCTGCTGCCCAGCTGTGAGCACTCGTGTCCTCTCGGTATCGGATCATCAGAACCGCTGCTCAGCCTCTCGCTGGACGGGGCCCGCGTGGCGTCCGAGTCCCCCGTCACCGTAAAGATGGAATCTGAGAAACTGTGCCTCTCGTCGTGGGCCAGCGGGGCGAAGCTGAGCTGGACGATCTGCCGGGCGCTCTGGCACACCGGGCCGTGGATGGCGGGGGTCAGGGTCGGCAGGTCAAAGGTCAGCACGGTTTGGGTGCTGGAGGTCAGCAGCTCCTCGCTGTCCAAGCTGTTGTACGACGTCCCCTTGGCTCGGTGGGACTCCATGATGCTCTCAAAGTGGCGGCTGAAGGTGTCCTCGGTGCCGGAGCGAGGACCAGAGACCAGGATGGGGGACTTCAGAGCTGGGTTGTGGTTGTCAAAAAATGTCTCCGTGGGTCTGGGTGAAGAGGACAGTTTTATTTTTTACCACAGATGTGTTTAGAAGTTAGAAAAACTGAATGAATTATTGATGTTTCTGTTTGTGAGCAGATGGAAAATGAGGCCACGAGCTGCAGATTCTGATCAAGAGCCAGGTCAGAGGAAAGTCCTGCTGATGAAAACCAGGTTTTACTAAAGGGCAGTGAGTGTAGGATCATGGTGTGCGTTTTGTGTCATATTTGTTAATGTTTGAGATGTTAACTGATGGTGTTCTTATAATCTGCTTCAGCTGTTAGCTCAATGTTTATGCCATTGAGGCAATTTAGCTTTTAGCTTGATATTTGCTCATTTATTTTTTGACTCAGATATTTTACTACTTTTTGTTTTAGATTGGTGTTTCCTTGTTATAGCTTTTTGCTACAGTTTTGCCGATTTTAGTTAATAACTACAGTTTTTTTTTTTCATTTTAGCTTTAACTACTGTTATACTTGTTTTAGCTTTTATATATTAATGAGCAAATTTGAGCTTTAGTTATTATTTGTTAGTTTTAGTTATTGTTTGGCTGGTTATTTCATTTAGCTACAATTTTGTAATATTTGATTATTTGGCTAATTTGAGATTTTTACAGTTTTATGCATTCTAGCTTAGCTTTTAGCCATTCTTTAGATAGTTCCAGCTTGTAGCTACTCTTTTGCAGGTTTTCGGACATAGCTATAATTTTGCTAGTATTAGCTTTTAGCTAATGTTTTGCTGGTTTTAGATTTTTGTTTAGATAAGATAAACCTTTATTGTCATTATAGAAAGCACAATGAAATTTTAGCTACTATTCTGTTAAATGTATTTGTTTAGTTACCGTTTCAGCTAATTTTAGTTTTGTACTGTTTAGCTAGTGTTAAGCTTGATTGAGCTACTGTTCTATTGATTTTAGCTCTTGTTCAGCTTGTTTTAGCTATTTTTCAGTTTGTTTTTGCTATTGTTCAGCATGTATGAGCCACTGTTTAGCTTTTTTTTAGCTATTGCTCATCTTGTTCTAGCTGCTGTTATTTTAGGTACTAATTTTAGCTACTGTTCAGGTTGTTTAAGCTACTGTTCAACTTCTTTTAGCTAATGCTCAAATTGTTTTAGCCATTGAACAGCTGGTTTTAGTTACTGTTCAGCTTATTTTAGCTACTGTTATTTTACGTACTTTTCAACTTGTTTTTGCTACTTTTCAGCTTATTTTAGCTATGGAACGACTGGTTTTAGTTACTTTCAGCTAGTCTTAGCTACTGTTCAGCTTCTTTTAACTAGTGCTCAGCTTGTTTTAGCTATAGTACGGCTTGTTTAAGTTACTGTTCAGCTTGTTTTAGCCATTGTTCAGCTTATTTTAGCTACTGTTATTTTAGGTTCTTTTCAGCTTGTTTTTGCTATTTTTCAGCTTATTTCAGCTATGGTACAACTGGTTTTATTTACTTTTCAGCTAGTTTAAGCTACTGTTTAGCTTGTTTTAGCCAGCACTCAGCTTGTTTTAGCTATAGTATGGCTAGTTTAAGCTACTGTTCATCTTCTTTTAGCTAGTGCTCAGCTTGTTTTAGCTATAGTACGGCTAGTTTAAGTTACTGTTTAGCTTGTTTTAGCTACTGTTCAGCTGCATTTCAGGTGTTCACCTCTTCAGGTGCCTGAACACCTCTGGCTCCTCCTCGGCGACGTACAGCTGCTTCCTGCTGTCGCCTTGCATCCTCACACTCGCCCAGCTGACCATTTCTTCCTCTTCTTCCTCCTCACTCTCCACTCCTTTCTCCTCCTCCTCCTCCTCCCCATCTGTCCTCACCCTCATAGGACTACTTCCTGTCCCGGAGGTGCCCTGAACGCTGCGGTTGCTGCCGAACGCAGAGTCGGCGTCGTCATGCTGCTCGGCCAGCAGAACCTCGTCGATGTCCGTCTCGCGGTAGCAGCGGAGCGGGACGGCGTCCAGATCGGTCTCCGAGTACTTTAGCGTCCAGCGAATGATGCCGGTTTTAGGTGACGTCCCAACGATAGCCGGGGGCGGAGTCACAAGCTCAACCTCCACGTGCTGCACCTCGTGATTGGCCGACAGCAGAGGCAGGGAGGACGGGGGAGTTGGAGTGGGAGACTCACTGGAGTTACCACTGGGGGGCGCCGTGGAGGAAGAATCTACAGAAATAAAGAAATAAAGACATTATTTCTGCTTCAAACACTCCGTCTTCGAAATAAAAGTGTGATTTGTACTTTTCCCTCCGCTGCCAGCTGCCTCCTCTACAGGGGTCCCGAACAAAAACTCCCACTTGGCTCGAGCTATTTTCTGACAGTGAAGGGAGGGAACAGGAGCTGCTGTTCGGCTGTCCGTCTGTAAAAAAAACAGCTGAAGGTTAATCTGCAGAGCTGCAGACAATCTGTGCTTTAATGAAGGGAAATAAGAAACTTAAAATAACAAAATGTTTTTTATGCTCTGTTGGTTAAAAAACAACGAGCTCAGTTCAGAACACAGCAGCTAAAGTTCAACAACACTTTTAGCTGTTAATTGTTTTGATGCTGATTCAAGAATTCAAACCCATTGTTTTAATTTTTCTGTATTTATTTTTTGTCTTTTTATGCTACTTCTAGCTAACGTTCTCTTACCTTCAGACATTTAAACCCTTTTACTACAAAAGCTTTTAGCTAGCCTTTTGCTACATTAGCTAACTTTTATCTACTTTTAGATTTTAGTTAGCCTTCTGTTTTGTATGGCTGGCCTTTTGCTACCTTAACTTTTGCATAACATTTTGCTACATTAGCTTTTAGACAGCTTTTTGCTACTATAACATTTAGCTATCATTTAGCTACTTTTAAGTACCATTCTGCCACTATATGTATTTAGCCAGCCCTTTGCTACATTAATTTTTAGCTTGTATTTTTTAACACTTTTAACTTTTCTATGTAGTCTTTTGAAACATTTAGCTTGTAAATAGCTTTTTGCTACTTTTAGTATTTATTTAGCCTGTTGATATTTATGGGTGGCATTTTCATACTTTTGGCTTATGGTTAGCTTTTTGCTACTTCTAGTATTTAGCAAACAGCAGTCCGGTAAAAGGCAGCGGTCGCTCAGCCCCACGGCCCGGCAGAAACAGCTTTTGATACTAATGGCTGGTCTTTTTGCTAATTTAGCCAGCCTTTTGCTACTTTAGCTTTTAACTAGATTTTTGCTACTTTTACTTAAATTTTTATCTGCCTTTATTCAATATTTATGCTACTCTGCTTTTAGCCAGCCTTTTGCTAATTTTAGCTAGCCTTTTACTACTTTAGCCTTTAGCTAGCTTTCTGATTCCTTTAGCTTTAACAGTTTAGTTTTAGCTTTAACAGTAAATCTTTTCAGATTTTAATAAAAATAGCCGTTGTTCTAGTTTCCTGTTCACCTGTTACCTGTTCGGCTGGCCTCGGCCCGGTTCCCACCTGTATTCCTGAGGTTGCGGCTCCGGTCTCGTTGCTCTGGTGGCTGGACTGGCTGGACTCTGGGGACAAGCAGTCTCTGTCCCCCAGACTCCCCGTCACCCCGCTGGAGCTCCGCGAGGATGACCCGGCCATTGCTTCGTTCCGCTCCGGTTCTGGAGCTTCTCCCACCCTCTGCTGTCCTGAATCACCTCGCCCTTCCTCGTCCTCCTCCTCTTCCTCGTCAGAGTCCAGCACCACAGGCCCAAGCAGAAGAAGTTCTCTCCTCCTCTGCTCGGCTCGTTTCTGCCGGGCCGTGGGGCTGAGTGACCGGTGCCTTTTACCGGACTGCTGGTTGCTGAATTCCAGCCCGGGTTCTGTTTGGTTCCTCCACTGCTGCCYGGAGGTCCAGCTGACCGGCGCCTCCTCAACGCTCTGATGGATGAAGAGCCTGCGAGCCAGCTCCGTACAGTCCTCCCTCTCAAAACCGTTCAGGTCTCCCGTCCTGTCCAGGCCGGGAGACCAGGAGTCTCCGGTGTACTGCGGAGGCTGGTGGCGGTGCGGGGTCGGGGAGTCTGGCACTCGGATCTCGGCCTGGAAGAGCCTCGGGTCTCTGAGGGGGGAGCTGATCTCGGTGGGAGGGTGGGAGGGCCGGAGTACTCGTGAAGGGACGGCAGGAGAAGTCTGAACCGCAGATAAAACCGAGCCCTGGTGTCTCTGGTGTCCGGTCTCCTGATGTGCGTGGTGGTCCATACGGGGGTTCTGGGGCTGGTGAGGGTTCTCGGGTGCTGGCATGGTTTGGTTGTTGAACGGGATGTTCATCTTCAGCGTTTGATTAAAGTTTTGTGCTTTTGGTTCTCCGGACTCGAAGCTGCACTGATGCTCCTCTGAAGTGTTGTGCGGTGAGGAACCTCTGGGCTCGGTGAAAACCGGAGTCACTTTTGACGCCTCCTCAGGGCTGCGAGCCGGAAAACAGGATTTGCTGTAACTCAACTGGTTCAGGCCTTCGATACTGTTATTTCCCAGGAACGTTCCCTGCGATGAAGAGGATTGGTCGATATTTTTATGGGAGGCCGGACTTCCTGCCACTCCTCTATCCTCTCCTGCAACGTGGAGAGGACTTTGAGGCTCAGCAGGAAATTGTTTCAGAGGGGACCAGTAGGTATCCTGACTGTATTCAGGATTCCTCCTGACGTTCTGATGCTGAACCGGAGACCCGGCCCAGGACTGGCAGCGCGGCTGTTGGGTAAACCGTGAAGAAGAGGCGTTCTCCAGAGCGTGGGCCAGTTTGATCCTCAGTAAGGGGGAGCCGAACTCCTCCACGGCCCTCTGTGTCGCTGCCCTGCCGATTAGGTCCAGGTGCGGCTGTCGGAGTCTGGGGGAGAACAATGTCTGCTGGTGAGTCCCCGGAGACCCGAAGGTCAGTTTGGGGCTGGAGCTGCACGATGAGTCAGGACTACCGAACCACACGGGGTCACTGAGGCGTTTCTGGAAGCGGGACCGGGCCGAGTTACGTGGACTCTCCACGGTCTTCACRTTGGACTTCTCTACGTAGCTGAAGCTGACCACAGATCGCGTCTCATCAGAAGGGGCGTGAGGGACGCCGACGGGCGGACCCCAACACCTGGAGGCTTTAGGTGAGGTTTTGGTTTGTGGACTACAYGCCACGTCCTGGAGCAGACGGGAAGCGGAGGTCGTCTTTCCGACGGTTGTTTGGCTCGTTAGCTGAGAGAGGAGCTCCGCGGGGCTGTCCTGAACTGAAAGCCCCTGAGCTTCCTCATACTCTCCATTCTGATCCGGGGTGGTCCTCAGTTCCACAAAAAGATGAAGGACTTTTCCAGACTGGGACATGACCTCGTCTCAGCTCGTAATGAGGACACAGGAGCAGAAATGGAGCAGAGAGACTGTCTCTTTCTGGTTTTTAGTTTTTTTTATGCTGCTGGCTGTTGTCAGTTTATTTTTAGCTGGTCTATCTTCTCCCTCGAAGAGCAGAGACATTCGGGTTCAGACGCTGGAGCACAAACCGGCCCGCGGGACGCCTTCGTTAGCACCAGAGTCCTCATACCTGTGAATGAAAGACAGAAGGAGTTTGTCTTAAAAGATGCTGTTTATAGAGCTGCTTACATTAAAGCTCTGATGACCTGATTTAAACATTCAACAGGTCTGTCAGTTCGACAGATAAACAGTGGTGGGCACAGTTCTGCTAATCCGCTAATAGAGGAACTAGCTTCTCRTTTAGTGCATTAGCTCTTTGGCTAACTTTGAAAAACTTTAGCAGACTGATTAGCTTCTGCTAAGCTAAAAGACATGCCTCCCCTCCCTTGCAAAAGAGATCTGTGATGGAGCTTTTGCCTGGTTAAATAAAAGTAAATAAAATAAATAAATAAATTAGGTTTGAATAATTTTAATTCCACTAAAATATTCACAAGTGTAAAACRTCTATTTTTAATGACGTTTATTCAAAATAGAATCAAAATTATCCCCTCTTACAAGCAGTGCCTAACGTGTCAGGCACTGTTGTTTAGCTTCTTTTAGCTAGTGCTCAGCATGTATAAGAGTGTCAAAAAGAAATAAAATAACATTTAACAATATTTAAATAATAAATACAAAAATCGACTATGTACAAAGTATAGTAGAGAAAGTATCTGCTATGTGTTGTTTGACTAACTTCATGCTGTATTTATAAAAACACAATCTGGATCTAGAAGTGYTATTATTCTGAAAGGGTTAAACTGGAAGTATCACAAGTYAGACAGAGCTACAACTCTGGTTTGGAATGGACGATTTGCCATAAATGATCGCACCCACCTTCATATGTATTAGCTCGAGAGCTAATGCTATTTTGTCACATGTATATGTACATATTAGCTTGGTAGCCAACGCGATATCACCATATATCAATGTATTAGCTCGAGAGCTAATGCTATTTTGTCATATGTATACTATGTATTAGCTTGGTAACCAATGCAATATCACAAAATACTGTATATATAAAGTAGCTCAAGAGCTAACATTACATCGCCATATGTATTAGCTTGAGAGCTAATGCTATATTGTTATAAGTACAGTTTTAGCTCAGGCATTACTTTATATTGCCATAATATTAGCTTGAAAGCTAACAAGAAACCTAAGAAGCTAAAGCTGAAGTGAGCAGCTGTGTTGTCCTCCATCATTATCAGTTTCAGGCAGATTAATTGCTACATTCTTCTCTCTGTCAACACACTCGGGTTTAATTTAGGGCCTGATCGTCAGACATTGTCCAAGATTAACCTTCAAGCTGGATACAGTTCTCAGCCTGACACCTGAGCAAGTGTCATCATTTACCCAGCATGCTTTGTGACATACTGTAAATGACATAGCGTTGTCTGTGTGACAATATTTATATTTTTTAATTTACAAAAACTAAACGGCCTACTGTATTTTTACAGTCAAAGTAAATGTTTCTCAAATCATGTTAAACCTACTCTGGGTTCCCTTTAAGAAACAGCCATCCTGCGGAGAATCTGCTGATAATGATTAATGATGAATGTGCGAGGATATTAATAAAGGTCTGTGGCCTTCTGGAGGAGCTGCAGTGTCCTTTACTGATCTTGACTCTATTTCACACTAATCCTCTGACATTTGGGTAAATTTTTTTGTGTTCTTGCATTTTTCCAAAACTGACAGACAGACCAGGTGGGAGAAGCACCCGAAGAGAAAGAAACAGTCCTTTGTCTAACCTTGATAAACAAAAAGCCACAGCTGCTCGGCTCTGATGACTCATCCTCTGTTGTCCCTCTGAGTTAGAAACGCTCACAAAGGATACAGATTTACTCCTTTGGGTCCTTGGTCTTTGCTTTTATGAGCCACATCACAGGTAATTAAACCCCATGCAGCTCTAATATTAGCTCCCTTCATATGATGTTGAGCTGGTAGGGGCTCGAGCTAATATTAGCTCTCAGCTTGCTCTGCTGCGTTCTGTGCTTTCAGCAACACAACAAGTTCTGCAGTTCAGTAAAAACCTGAGGAGATTAGGGTGGACATTCAGCTTATAATCCATCTAATACTTGCAAACGCAAACTAGAAATATATTTTCTGCTCAAATGCAGCATGGGCACTGACAGTCTTTACTAAAATTAGCTGAAACTGACTTGTTTAAAAGGGGCAATATCATGTAAAAATCAACTTTTTTTTTGTTTTATATCATGTTATAATGTTATACTCTCATAAAAAAACATGCCCAAAGCCTTGCTCTGACTCATTCATGCATGTTTGAGAAATTCTGCAGCATTTTTAGACAACCATGCTGAGGAGCAAAACGACAGGTGGGGACCAGAAACACCTTTTGGGACCAGAAACGCCCCTGGGACGTGTCTTTAAGCCGAACTTCCTCATCACGGAGCACATCTCCCCACCCCCACCCCACACACCTCGCCCATGACTCCTGCAGGCTCTTGGCAGTAACAGGGCAAAGTGAAAAACTGTCTGCTGCTCTTAACACTACTGCTCACTCAGTGAAGCTCTTTTCAGATTCAAAATACCTTTGAGGAAATGTATTTTCAGATGCCAAGTAAACTGCATCATAGCGCACGCTATGTCATAAAAAAACACACAATAAGAGCTTCGGCCGCCTGACCGCAACTGAAACGTGCCAACGCTTTGCTCTGAGTATAACCTTGTGTTTTCTTCAGACACTTTCAGATAAAAGCGAGGAGTTGTCTGACTCATGCCTGCAGCAGAAGAGTTTCTGTGGAGAGAGACGTAGGAACACGAGGTCGACGCCACGATGGTCATGACCTCGTCGACTTTACGACGCCTCCGTTCAACTCCGATGAATCACACGTAAACAAAAACACTAATCTTTCAAACATTTAGATGTTTTAGGATCATTTCAGGTGACAAATTATTTATTCTAGACTCAGTTGTTGCGATTTATTTTCAGCCAGTTTAACATTGTAGGAATGACTTTCAGCTAATACTACACCTAATTTTAGCTATTTTTGTGTTTAATAAGGTTGATTAGCTCAAGTTGACTCCAATAATTAGTCCGCTGTAGATGTGTATTATTTTCATTATAATTCGTGCAGTGGTTCTACAGATATTTTGCTAATGCACAGACACACCAGGGCTGGGTATTGGCAAGAATTTGGTGACATGATACATATAATACAATATGATATATCGCAATACACAGTAGGGGTGTAAGAAAATATCGATACACTGAAATATCGCGATATTTCATTTCCCGATACTGTATCGATATTCTAAAGCCCTGTATCGATTTTTTATTAAGGTTTAAAATGTCAACTTTCCTGCCAGCCGTTCATTTTTATGTTGTAGTTCAGCCTCTGACCACTAGTTGGCAGCAGTGAGCCAGCCATTTGGCTCCTCTACCTSCTTTTGTTAAGTGTTGGGTGACCATATTGTAAATTAATATTAAAAAAATAAAAGCTGCAAAAAATATATTTTCAAACTATTTATTGTCAAATTTAGTCTAATAATTGAAAACATGGATGAAATCAGAAGTATGAAACAAATAAAATAAAATACATACAAAGCAGAACACAGCTAAATGTATCAAAAGCATGTGTATGTAATATTAGAATTTTCTGAGACAATGAATTTTGGTTTTTCATTTTTTTCCCCTGTAAGAGGTTTTTATAATAGAATTTTTGGACAAAAAAAATCGCAATATATCGCATTGCTTATAGTATCACAATATAACGGGATATATTGTATCGTGACCCCTCTGTCATGATATGTATTGTATCGCCAAATTCTTGCCAATACACAGCCCTAATACACAGTGGTAGACAACGTTCTGCTAACCTGCTAATCCRCTAATAGCTRAACTTGCTTCTCATTTAGCAAATTAGCTTTCTTGTTTCGCTAACTTCAGGAATTGTTAGCCTGCCAATTAGCTTCCACTAATTTTAAGTCCACTAAAAAATTCACAAGTGTAAAACTTTAATTTTTATGCCGTTTATCCCAAATTAAATAAAAAACTATCCTCTCTTGCAAGCGGTACTGGAAGTGTCAGGCACCATGTGTGTGGCATGTAGCCTCTTTAGCAGCTAAACTTTAAACTAAGTGCATCAAAAAGAAATAAAATAACTAATGATATTTAATATTGTACAAAAAAAACAAATTGTCTATATACAAAATATGGTAGATAACCCTTTTTTATGTTTGACTAACTTCTTGCTGTATTATAAAAAATACAAACTGGGTAAAAGAAATGCTTTTATTCTGAAAGGGGTAAACTGGAATTATAACAGGTTAGGTGGAGCTATAACTGAACTGGTCGACTTGCCACAAATGATTTCGCCCATCTTCAAATTACATGCGATACTGTAAGCAAGGCAATATAGAGCCTTTTTTTTTTACAAAAGATTCTATTTTTAAAAGCTCAGTGTAAAGAAAACATGTATTACATGTATGTATTAGATGTATAAAATATAATTAAATTCTGTTTATTTTTATGCAACCAAAATTAAATTTTCACGTCTTCTTACAACATCCATCCATTAAGCCTTAATTTAAAGTTGATACAGTGCTTTTGAGAATTGATACAGCGTCAGGAAAGGAAATATCGAAATTTTTCAGTGTACACGTATTTTCTTGCACCCCTATTAGGCCCACAAGAAGAAAGCTCTGCTGCTTTGAAAGGGTTTTCACATGTAGGTAAAAAAACAGCAGCTAATTGTTGTAAATTAGTCATTCTTTGACTTTAACAGATTCAAGGAAGCTGTAACTGAGGCTGAAAGCTGCTAAATTCCTCAGGTTTGTCTCCATTAATGAGTTGTTAGTCAGATGGTAATGACCCACCAGCTCTGATGGCGGAAGTTTGGGTTTTTTCTGAATTGTAGAAAGTGAAGGACACTCTCGCTCTCCTCCACCGTTTTTTAAGGAGCGAGGCATTTGAGGCTCCTCGTTGCCTTTAATTTCACAACTGAAAGTGATCATTTAGATCTTTAAAGTACAGAGAGGTTAATTAATATTTATCTTGTTGTAGAGGGTATTTTGAGCGCTCTTATTTTGGAGGTGTAATTCTAAAATGAGTTAACGCTTCTGATGGTTGCTATGTTTTATGGACGTATTAACAGGCCCACACACACTGATTATACTAAGATATGCAGTCCCTTTACCTCGCACTTCCTCACACACGTGAGCATGTCACACCCGCCCACGCAAACACACAAATACACAACCCAACACGGTGCGATCAGAGAGGAACAGAGTGTTTTTCTGTCCAGGGTTCACTTGTCGGAACATCTGGATCAGCTGCTCCTCAGGGTCCTTATCGACTCTGTCCTGTCAGCAGAAACCAGGAGCTCATTTGTTCTACAGACACACAAACCCTCCCTCCCTCCTCCCTCCSATACCTCCCATCTCACCTCCTCCATGGAGGATTTACACCTCCCACTTCATCCGTTCTGTYGTCCCTTTCCTTTCCTTCTTTCCTTTCCTCTTATTAGAGCAGAGCAGCCGGTGCAGACCTGTCCGATCAACTCAGATCCCCCCCACAACAGAAACACTAAGAGCAGCCCCCACCCCTGCCCTTCACATACATGCTGAGTCAGTGTGGAGTTGTTAACGCTATAAGCTCAGGGGTGCTTTGAAGACAAGGAGGCAGCAGTTCAATCTGGACACCCCCCCCACCACCACACACACACACACACACACACACACACACACACA